CACATTGATTAGTCCCCAAGTAGACTATGTCTTACACTGTGTATGAACCTCTGTCCTACGTGGCAGTGAACAGTGATACCACCTTCAGTGTCAAGACCTGACTGAACTTTACTCACAATAAAAAAAACTGTACTCCAAGTTTTGATAATAAATTTGTTAACAGTTAATCTCTCTCTCTCTCTGACACACACACACAGTAACACATTTTACAATTAATAAAACACTCCAAAACAGAACAAAATAAAAACAAATGAATAATAATAATAATAATAACAATAATAATAATAATAATATTAATAATAATAATAATATTAATAATAATAACAATAATGATAATAATAACAATAATGATAATAATAACAAATAATAACAATAATAATAATAATAACAAATAATAATAATAATAATAATAATAATAATATAACAGTAAAATTACATAAATGAAAACGACAATACAGAGGTAAGGTAAAGTAATCCTCAACAGGTAACACGAGTCACCTGGAAGTTCAAATTAGTCTCTCGACCTTAATAATGAGCTTATGTGAACCTGGACACCCCCCCCCCCAAAATGAACCGAACAAAGACAACCATTTAATATTAATTAATTTTTATGGCGGCCATGTTTGTGTTGTGGGGGGGGGGGGTTACAGTTCCGACACCACCACCACAACAACAATCAGCTCAGGGGCGAACTTGAGGAGGAGGACGGGAGAGAACATAAGAAAATAAGGAGTCTGCAATAGGCCGGTTGGCCTGTGCATGGCAGCTCCTGTCGAGAGTTACTACCACTCTCTATCATCCATGAATCTATCTAGCCTCCTTTTGAAACTTTCCAGGGTTCCCGCACTTACTACAAAGTTGCTAGGCTTGTTCCACTCGTCCACCACCCTATTTGTGAACCAGTTTCTTCCTATCTCCCTCCTAAACCTAAACTTATCCAACTTGAATCCGTTGCTCCGAGTCCTATCCTGCTCGGATATTATAAGAACTTTATCTATATCCCCTTTATTGATTCCTTTCACCCACTTAAATACTTCTATCATATCTCCCCGCACTCTTCGTCTTTCTAGGGAATGCAAGTCTAGTTTCTTTAACCTATCCTGATATGGAAGGTTTCTAAGTCCCGGAATCATTTTTGTCATTCTTCGCTGCACCGACTCTAGTGAATTTATATCCATTCTATAATAGGGGCACCAGAACTGAACCGCATAATCGAGGTGCGGCCTGACTAGCGATTATGAGAGCGGTGAGGGGAGAAGGGGAGGGAGGGAGGAGGGGAGGTTGTTTCATCACTTTGGGGAGGGGGGAGGGGAGAATGACCAGGTTTCTCCCCTATCAAGGTTGGGCTGCTTAAAACACCATAAAACATTGTGTAGAACAGAACAAGTGTAGTTTATAGTGTACGAAGGGGGGTGAGGGGAGGGGTGGGGAGGGAAGGAGGAGTTTGGGAGTATGTGGAAGAGGAGGAAGAGAAGGCAGAATGATGCCACACCACTATTCCACACACACCACACCACCATTCCACACACACCACACCACCGTACCTGACCATGCAAGAACGGGTACACCACACTAACATTCCAACGCCCCTCCCTCTCTCTACCACACACACACACACACCTTCGCCTCCAGGTTCACTACTTGATGGAACGCCTCGACACTTTCTCAGTATTTGGAAATGTGAAACAACCAGAAGGAAAACACACACATACACAACCCGCCCACACACAAACACACGCCTTGCTCAATCCATTCAAGGTTGGAAGGGGAGAGGAAACAAATAGATATACTTTACAATTTCTCAAACAACGACTGTGATGGTTGGCTCCTAGAGAATTATGGTTAGCGGCGGTAAAGTTGAGAACACTATTGACACTGTTGTAATGTAAGCCATGGGCAGCACAGCGGTGTTAGGGTGACAAGGTAGAGTGTGTGACGGAGTGTGTGACGGAGGTGTGTGACGGGGGTGGTGATGAAGTAGAATGTGTGACGGTGGTGTGTGACGGGGGTGGTGAAGGTGATGAGATTGAGTGTGTGTGTGTGTGTGACGGAGGTGTTACGGTAGTGGTGTTGAAGTAGTGTGTGTGACGGGGGTGTTACGGTAGTGGTGTTGAAGTAGAGTGTGTGAAGGGGGTGGTAAAGGTGACGACGTAAAGAGGGTGTGTGACGAAGGTGTTGAGGGAGGTGGAGGTTCTTCAGGTTGATGACAGATAGACAGACAGACAGACAGACGAGACACCTATATCTCTCCCAGACAGACAGACACCCATATCTCTGGAATATGACCGTATTACTTGAGGATTACTCACCCTAGTGCTAAATTAATCTAACTCACCACTAACCTAACTTAACCACTAGCCTAACCTAACCTAACTTATCCGAACTAAAACACTAACCTAACCAAACGCTAACTTAACCAAACGCTAACTTAACCAAATGCTAACTTAACCAAACCCCCTTGGTAACATCCAGGTGGCTAATATTCAGGTTAAATAAGCTTGGGAGGGCGAATCTTCAGGTCAGGACTTTAACCAACCAATGCTCTGTAAGTCGAACCCAGGACCGCAAGATAACCACGGGAGTACAACACCAAGCCGCCAGCGTACTGTGGTGGAGACCGTAGCGACTGTGGTGAAGTGAGCAGCAGGTGGTGTGGTGGTAGTAGTGGTGGTGGTAAGAGTACTGGTAGTGGTGGTGGTAAGAGTAGTGGTGATGGTGGTAGTTACTGAAGGTACTTACCCGCACGCCTAATGAGAGAGAGAGAGAGAGAGAGAGAGAGAGAGAGAGAGAGAGAGAGAGAGACCCCCTACACAACACAATACACACATGAGATCCTCCCTATCCCCTCACCCCCCTGACATCTCCCTACCACCCCCTTTCTAAGCCCTTCCACACCACCCTAATCACTTACCTGTACCCTAAAGTGCCTGTGGGTGTGGGGAGGGGGGAGGGGTGGCAGGGGGGGAGGGGTGAATATAAACTGTATAATAATCATCTACACATTTTCTTTTTCTCTTTTTTTCTCTAGCTGCGTCATCAAGCTCAATGAATGCCAATCTTGTCTGACTCCAAGAACTCTTATAATTTTTTCGTCCCTGTCAGTTACCTCGTGGACGTATTGTTCGTGGTTTTCAAATTTCGTATCTGAGGGACTTGTTAGGTTAGGTTAGGTTTGGTTTGGTTTGGTTAGGTTAGGTTAGGTTAGGTTTGGTTAGAGTTGTTAAATTTTTGGAATAAGCTGGAATGGAGATTGTTAAAACACACACACACACACACACGCAGACAGACAGACAGACAGACAGACAGACACACACACACACACACACACACACGCAGACAGACACACACACACACACACTCCAAATCTACACTTCATCACTCAAAAAAACCAGCAACTACTAAACATACTTTCACATGTCAAAACCATCAATAACTTCCATAATTTCTCACTTATCAAGATAGCTGCTAACCTTCCCGCTGGCCAGGTCTATCAAAAGGCGTATAATTTGATAGTCAGATCACATACGATTCAGAACAAGTACAAGTAATGTGGTTTTTGTATTATATAAGATAACTTTTGCCTTTTAAATATTATCCGTGTATCTAAAATCTATATGTAGGAGTAAACTTAACTTCTAGACGAATATTACTATTTTTATTTCACTGGTAATTATCAAAAACACACATGTAAATAACTTAAGGCGGAAAGAACGTGAGTTTTGGCGCGAATCAATTGTTGACATAACTGATGGCGGGAAAGACAGCGTGAGATTTGGCGGGAAAGACAGCTTGAAATTTGGCGGGAAAGACAACTGGAAATTTGGCGGGAAAGGTGATACAATGGTTGTGGGTTAAGGAAGTCAATGGATACGAGGCATCTAAATAAGGCATATTAGTGTTATAATGATGGGATAAAAGGCATAATATATACTTTAAGTAGTTCGTGGTGGGAGAGCCAGCTGAAGTATAGGGTAGGAAGTTCTCACAGCTAATGGCTAGAGAGAGAGAGAGAGAGAGAGAGAGAGAGAGAGAGAGAGAGAGAGAGAACCCCCCACCCAGACCTATGTAGCAACAGGCATGCACGAGCACCCCCAGGGACACACACACACACCTATAGAGAAACCTATCGCCCCTATATCTAACCATTAAAAGTCGAGTCTTAGTGTAATTTCGACTCCATTGGTACCTTCCCTTATTTCTATACATAATGGGAGTCTGTGAACAACTTTGACTCCATTACTATCAGGGACTTAAAGTATCATGTTCTTCCACGACTAATAAGAAAAACTATTGAAAATATCCAGAAATACACTAAAAAAATTATTCACACAACACCACACTACACCATACTACACCACACCACCTTAATAATCTGTCACATAGATCACATGAGTGGAACCATCTTGTCACACATCATCATCATCATTCAGACAGACAGACAGACACGGACACACAAACAGAAAGACAGACTGACAGACAAAAGAGAACAATAACAAGTTGATAAAACCAGGGAAATGCATCAACGCAGGAGAGGACACGACCTGCAATAAACACACCATCGGTAGCTTAAAGAAGGCCACTTTCTACCTCAACCAGCGGAACATATGGTGTGTGTGTGTGTGTGTGTGTGTGTGTGTGTGTGTGTGTGTTACGAGCACCATGAAGGCCACTGTACTTAACACATATCATCATCATCAACAACCACACTCTCCTTGGTGGTCAGTCAGCTGTTATAATGTAAACACAGTACTGTAATAATAACAAGGACAGCAGCAATACATCACACACACACACACACACACCACCAAAACCACAACACATTCTGATTCATTCTCGTTAACCCATAATATCCACGAACATTCTTCTCTTCCTCCCTCCTTCTCTCATCATCGTCTTCCTTCCCATCTCCTTCTTTTCTTCCATAACCTCCTCCTCTCCCTCCTTCCCCACACCCATCATAAGCCACACGACGCCCCAGAGGTACACTTTATACTACTCACCACAGCGCAGGATAAAGGGCACCCCGTCCCATCTCTCGTTGTTGATGCGGGTGACGGCGAGGGCGTAGGTGGGCGTCACGGAGCCGGCAGGTACAGTAGGGTCATCCAGGTAACCTTCACGAGCTTCACCTTCACCGTCGGGGTCACCTACGTATTGACCCAACACCACGTCATCCAGGGTCAACATCTTCATCGATTTGAGTACCTTCACCTGTGAGGAACAAGGTCAAGTTGGGTCAAGTTAGGTCATATTTTACGGTGATATTAATATACAGATTTCTTCATCAACTTGACCACCTTCATCTGTCAGGGTCAACACCACGAACAGAGGTCAGGTCAGGTCATGTTGAGTTACGTTAAGGTAAAGCAATATGAGATCACCTGATGATTAACCCACCACCCTAACCTAACCTAACCTAACCTAATATAACCCAACCCATCCTAACCTAACCATTCAGGTAGCGGTAGGTTGGTCATCAGGTGAAATAAATTGGAGGTGGTAGTGCGGAGTGGTGAGTGAGGAGTGGCGAGTGAGGAGTGGCGAGTGAAGAGGGGGGGGAGGGGGAGGAGGATGGCGAGAGGAAGACTGAGATTATGTAACCTAGAGTGTGACGAGAGGGAGAATAATAATGATGGACTGTGTGTGTGTGTGACTGGGGTCCTTCCTGCCGGTTATACTAAGCCTTGCGCCGGTCATCTACGGTAGTTAGCTCCATGACCGGCTTTCTCCACCAGCCGGATACAGCCGGAGCTGACCTCGGCCAACGTACAGCCGGCGTGAGTGTGTGGTCAACATGGCGGGGGGCGGGGGAGGGGGGGGGGTGATGTTGCAGCCTTATGATGTAACTTTCAAGGTCCAAGTGAAACGGACCCCAAGTGAGACGGGGCCCACGTAAGACGGGCCACAAGTAAGACGGGGCCCAAGTGAAACAGACCCCAAATAGACGGGGCCCAAGTGAAACGGACCCCAAAAAGAAGTCCCAATGATGTTTTCCCTCCCTTAAAATAGACAGAAATAAACAAAGAAAATGTGTTTTTTTCCCTTATAGACAAAGACGTAAATACCCATGGGAGCTACGTCACATTTCCTTACATTTAAGTGTGTGTGTGTGTGTGTGTGTGTACAAGTGTTCTGATGTTCACCCACGTACTGTATACCTTCACAAACACACACCACAACACCCTCCCCCACCCACACCCCTCTCCACCACCACCCCTCATACCCACCTCACCACCCCCTTACACCCACCTCACCACCCCTTTACACCCACCCTCACCACCCCTTACACCCACCTCACCATCCCTTTGCACCCACTCTCACCACCCCCCACACCCCACCACCCCTCACACCCACCTCACCACCCCCCACACCCACCTCACCACCCCTACACCCACCTCACCACCCCTACACCCACCCTCACCACCCCTTACACCCACCCTCACCGCCCCTTACACCCACCTCACACACCCCTTACACCCACCCTCACCACCCCCACCCACTCTCACCACCCTTACACCCACTCCCCCTCACCACCCCCTACACCCACCCTCACCACCCACCCACCTCACCACCCCCACACCCACCCCACCACCCCACACCCACCTCACCACCCCTTACACCCACCCTCACCACCCCTTACACCCACCCTCACACCCACCCTCACCACCCCTTACACCCACCTCACCACCCTTACACCCACCTCACCACCCCCACACCCACCTCACCACCCCCTACACCCACCTCACCACCTCACCACCCCCTTACACCCACCTCACCACCCCCTTACACCCACCCTCACCACCCCTTGCACCCACCCTCACCACCCCTTCACACCCACCTCACCACCCCTTACACCCACCCTCACCACCCCTTACACCCACCCTCACCCTTACACCCAACACAACACACCAGCCATATCATTAACACAGATTGCAAAAAAATAACGCAACTACAAATTACTTTCAGTACTACAGAAAGATATCACCTCAATAACACCACAATCACAGCTTCTCCAGGATGCAATATATATATGTACGCTAAATTACGGTATATAAATCACAGAGGAAATTATATAAATTATTTCGATTTTAATCACTGAGATGGGATGGTGCTGTGTGTGTGTGTGTGTGTGTGTGTGTGTGTGTGTGTGGAGTGGTTTTGGATATAAGACAGACACACATACATACATACATACATACACACACAAAGGTACACACACAAAGATACACACATTCAGAGAGAGAGAGAGAGAGAGAGAGAGAGAGAGAGAGAGAGAGACTTTCTCTCCCCAATATTATGTAGATCACGTGACGTCACCAAACCACAGGTAAATTATCCACCAACCGGAAACAAGACTCACTCAGCCTTCCTTTAATTGGTCGTGACACGCAACTCTTCGCTCTGATTGGTTACTGAACTTGTCTCTCTTCGCTCTGATTAGTTAATTAACTTCACTTTCTAAACTGTGATTGGTTAGTGAACTTGCCTTTCTATACCGTGATTGGTTAGTGAACTTGTCTTTCTTCACTCTGATTGGTTACCTAACTTGCCTTGCTTCCATCTAATTGGTTAACTAACTTTCCTATCTTCAATCTGATTGGCTGACAGACACGTAACTCTCTACTCTGATTGGCTGACAGACACGTAACTCTCTACTCTGAATGGCTGACAGACACGTAACTCTCTACTCTGATTGGCTGACAGACACGTAACTCTCTACTCTGATTGGCTGACAGACACGTAACTCTCTACTCTGAATGGCTGATAACTAAAAAACAAACTCTTATTAGTTAACTGATTCGCCATGAGAGAGAGAGAGAGAGAGAGAGAGAGAGAGAGAGAGAAACTGAAAGAAAAAGACAAATAATGAAAGAAGAGAGAGAGAGAGAGAGAAATTCCTTCGTTTCTTTCCTCCCCGGGTGGGTCCCTTGGGGAAGTCCCAGGACCTAACACCATGAAGGACTCCCACCCCCCGTTTTTACTCCTACTCCACCACCTCCACCTCACAACCCTTATTTTCCTCCTCCATCCCTTACTCCACCTCCTCCACCCCCTATTCCACCTCTTCCACCCCCAACTCCACCTCCTCCACCCCCTACTCCACCCTCTACTCCACTACCTCCACAAGAACAACTACTACAACAACTACTACAACAAGTGACAACAACAAGTGACATCAACTACAACAATCGTAAACACTCCTCTAACTAACAAGTCATCAGTGCCGCCTGTCTCCATGCCACCACAACAACCACCACCACAATTACCACTACAACCACCATCACCACTACAACCACCACCATTACCACCATCACCACTACAACCACCACCATTACCACCATCACCACTACAACCACCACCAATACCACCACACAACCACCACTACAACCACCACCATTACCACCATCACCACTACAACCACCACCATTACCACCATCACCACTACAACCACCACCACCACCATCACCACTACAACCACCACCATCACCACCACATCACCACTACAACCACCACCATTACCACCACAACCACTACAACCACCACCATTACCACCATCACCACCACACTACCACTACAACCACCATCACCACTACAACCACCACCATCACCACCATCACCACTACAACCACCACCATTACCACCATCACCACTACAACCACCACCATCACCAACATCACCACTACAACCACCACCATTACCACCACAACCACCACTACAACCACCATCTTCATCACCACAACTACCACTACCATCATCACTACTACAACAACTACTACCACCACCACCACCACAACTACTAACACAACCACAATAAAAAATCCCCATCACGACCAAGATATTGATGACGACACCAAAAGAACCGTGAATGGGGTGGGTGGGTGGGCGGGCGGTGGGTTGTGGTGGGTCTCGTCTCCTTCCTCCCACCCACCCAGCGTCAAGGTCACACACACCCACCCACCACCATTATAACCCACCTACCTACCATCACCAACCACCATCACCACAAACAACCACAATCACCATCCACCACAATCAACCACAACCACCTTCCATCTTGCTGGTAAATAACTCATGTTCATCCAGTGTTCCTCAAGTTCACCCGCTGTTCACTACTGTTCACGAGTTTATTTATTCTTAAGATGTTCACAGCTATCCACACCTTCAGGTCTCCTCTGGCTGTTGGATATTCTGAACGTTCATTATATCCACCTGTTCAACATGTTCACAACCACCAACCCTCAGATACCTCAAATGTTCATCAAGTGTTCCAAATGTTCACCAGCTCTTATCATATCCCCTACTGAAGGTCACGCCATTTAGGTTATGTCTTATCTGATAAAACCCTCGTATAACCTGAAGATTAGACACCCTAGCTTGTACCACCTAAAGATTCACATATCCACATATCACTAACACAAGAAGAAGAAAAATCAAAGAAGAATCAAAGAAGAATCAAAGAAAAAGAAGAATCATAGAAAAAGAGGAATCACAGAAAAAGAAGACTATTTTCATTATCCACTGCTAACCGTTTCTTCATACAGTACATTACTATTCTAACCAAAAGTCACACAGGAAGTGTTGAGTGGCGCGAGGGAGGGGGAGAGGGGGTAGGGGAGAGGGGGTAGGGGGGGTGGTAGGGGAGAGGAGGTAGGGGGGGTGGTTAGAGCTGGTTCCCCTCCCCTCCCCCCAACACCACTATCAAGAGTACAATATGTTTATGTATTTGTTTATGTATCGATACTGTAACCTCTCTCTCTCTCTCTCTCTCTCTTTCTCTCTATCTTTATTCTCTCTTTCTCTATCTATCTATCTTTCATTATTTATTTTTTTCTCTTTTACAACCACCACCACCACCAATAGGACGTCAGGGTAAAGTCCTTAACGCGGCGTCCACATTCTTAAAAGGATTTCCTGCCACAGTGACAAGCCGCCCAGATTCCGATTCACAAAGGTTCGTACATTTTCCGTTTTGTCTCGTAGCTGGAGAGTGCCTAGAGCTGATGCAGTCGTAATCTCTAGTGATGGGAGATGTAACACCTTGGGTACGATGATAAGGTCATTGTACTCAAGGGGATAGGTGTGATTTTTCCTGACCCTGCATGACCGTTTATTATGACCTTACCTGTGCCCTTATGACCCTATCTGTGCCCTTATGACCCTATCTGTGCCCATATGACCCTACCTGTGCCCTCATGACCCTACCTGTACCTTCATGACCCTACCTGCACCCTTATGACCCTACCTAAACCCTTATGACCCTACCTGTGCCCTCATGACCCAACCTGTACCCTTATGACCCTACCTATACCCTTATGACCCTAACTATACCCCTATGACCCCTTTCCTAACCGAACATGACCCAACCTGAACCCCTTATATGACCCTGAACGACGCGACACGACTAACCTTCTCGTCCCTGATGTCGTCGGCGGAGGTGGAACAAGGCTTCTCCATGGCCACCAGACACAGGATCTGCATCAGGTGGTTCTGCATCACGTCGCGGATCATGCCGAAGTCGTCGAAGTAACCCCCTCGACCCTGTGTCCCGAACGGCTCCTTGAATGAGATGAAGACCGAGGCGATGTTGTCTCGGTTCCATGTTGGTCCGAAGATCCGGTTGCCGAATCTGGTTGGTGGTGGAGAAACCGGGTTAGTTAACCGTGGTTTGTTTATTTGGACCGTCTAGGTATAGTGTTTGTTTACTTGGACCATCAAGGTATACATTGTTTACCTGAACAGTCTAGGTATAGCGTTTGAATTCGTGCCATGAAGTCCATTATTTGTACAGATATACTTAAACAGTAACAGTATTAGCCACACGTACCAACACACACAGTGATCAATAAGCAAAGAAAGTTACCACCACCCCTCACCAGACGCCCAAGCAGTACCTGGGGTTCATTAATATTGTAAACCACACTCCCTCTACTGGTAATGGTGGTAGTGATGGTGGTGGTGATGATGGTGGTGGTGGTGGTGGTGGTGATGGTGGTGGTAGGTGGTAGTGATGGTGGTGGTGGTGGTAGTGATGGTGGTAGTGATGGTGGTGGTGATGATGGTGGTAGTGATGGTGGTGGTGGTGGTGGTGATGGTGGTGGTGGTGGTAGTGATGGTGGTGGTGATGATGGTGGTAGTGATGGTGGTAGTGGTAGTGGTGGTGGTGGTGGTGGTGGTGATGGTGGTGGTGGTAGTGATGATGGTAATTGTGGTGGTAGTGGCGGTAATGGTGGCGGTAATGTAGTAAGTTTCACCATCATGGGGAACTTAAGGAATAGATATGGTACGGTAGATAGATAAGATAGATAGATAGATAAAGAGAATAACAATAATAAACGACAATGAACACAACACACAGTAGTCAACAAGTCCACACCACCAACATCCTGCGCCACACATTAAAACATTCTATCCACATCCAAATCAACATTCCACATTACAAGGCACGAGCCAGGACGTCACGCAACCTTGGAGAATAACACTAAGGGTCACGTGCATCAATTTGACCTCTGACCTGGGGGGAGGGGAGGGGGTGGGGGGAGGGGAGAGGTGGTGGGGGAGGGGAGGTGGGGAGGAGAGGGGTGGTGGGGGAGGGAGGGGTGGGTGGGGAGGGGAGAGGTGGTGGGGGGGAGGGGAGGGGTGGGGGAGGAGAGGGAGGTGGTGGGGAGGGGAGAGGAGGTGGTGGGGAGGGGAGAGGAGGTGGGGGGGAGGGGAGGAGGTGGGGGGAGAGGAGAGGAGGTGGTGGGGGGAGGGGAGGAGGTGGTGGGGGGAGGGGAGAGGGTGGTGGTGGGGGAGGGAGAGGTGGGGGGGGAGGGGAGGAGGTGGTGGGGAGGGGAGAGGAGGTGGTGGGGGAGGGAGAGGAGGTGGTGGGGGAGGGGAGAGGTGGTGGGGAGGGAGAGGAGGTGGGGAAGGGAGAGGAGGTGGTGGGGGGAGGGGGGGTGATGGGGAGGATAGGAGGTGGTGGGGGAGGAGAGGAGGTGGTTGGGGAAGAAAGGAGGTGGTGGGGGCGGAGGAGGTAGTGGAGGTGAGGGGGAGGGGGGGGGGTAACCCGCACACCCGACACTTGACCTTAGTTGTATTAAGTCCTAACAAAGTCTTATGGCAAATGAGTTATGTCTCCTGCCATAGTTAAGTAATAAGGGACACTTCCCAACATCAACCTGTAACTCTCTTCTCTTCTACCAGTTTATAATTTTCTCCTCTTTCGTTAATTAATGATTACCCGTTAGGTTAGGTTAGGTTAGGTTAGGTTTGGTTTGGTTAGGTTAGGTTAGATTTGGTTAGGTTAGGTTAGGTTTGGTTTGGTTAGGTTAGGTTAGGTTAGATTTGATTAGGTTAGGTTAGGTTAGGTTAGGTTAGGTTTGGTTAAGTTAGGTTAGGTTAGGTTAGGTTTGGTTAGGTTAGGATTACATTGAAGAATTCGTTACTAAAAGACAGTCTACTCTAGCCTTTGGAGAGATGAATTATAAGAAACAGTTCAATCCCATTATTACGTACATAACTACATGTCGTGGTATTTAAGAATGACTCCAGTAACAATTAGACTCAAGACATCATCCTGGTGGTAGTTAGGAGGAAAATACTTGAGCAATGTTAAAATATAGACACGTGACGCAGTCCTCTGGTGACATTTTCTGAGTAACCTTTTGATTTGATTAAAGTTGACCAGTACAGTAACTCCTGAAGGTGAAAATAAGAAACCTAACCTAACCCAACCAGTACAGTAACTCCTGAAGGTGAAAATAAGAAACCTAACCTAACCCAACCAGTACAGTAACTCCTGAAGGTGAAAATAACAAACCTAACCTAACCCAACCTCGAAGCACTAAAAATTACGTCATTCAAGCGATTACCAATAACAATAGATAATTAAAATGTAGGCCAACCACTCACCTCTATAATTACAATACCACAGGAGTAATCAGTACACTCTCGTCAAGTTAATAACACGTAAATGACATAATTACAACTTCCAACTATACCAGAGGGTCATTACGAGCCTCCCACCTCAGAAGGTAATTACACTAACTACCACTATTTAATAACACTACCACAATTTAATTACACTACCACTATTTAATTACACTACCTACCACTATTTAATAACACTACCACTATTTCTCACACATCTACTAACCCAAACTACTGAGAAATTTTATAGTCCTGTTTGCACTAGGCGGACATGTAAACACAATGACGTCATCACACACCTGCGAGGGTTGGGGCGGTCCGTGTCTACATACTGATATGTTTATCGGCAGCTGAGAGAGAGAGAGAGAGAGAGAGAGAGAGAGAGAGAGAGAGAGAGTTCGACTTGGTACCTCACCTGAGTATAGTCCAACTTAACCCACATCATTAATTCAAACAACACCATTTTTTTTTACCTGTTCGTTTGGTAGTTAAGAAGCTGAGAGGCAAGCAGCTATTTAATAAGCAACTCAACAACTTAAAGCAGCAGGGTTACGGGTAATAGAAGCTACAGCAAGTAAATATATTAGTTAACATTCATGTAGTGAAATCTGGAGACATTTTCACATTCTGAGGTGGGAGGGAAGATGGGGTGGAATGGGAAGGAGTGGGTGGGTGTGTGTGTGAGTGTACCTGCTTCACCCCACCTCCTACTCCTCACACACAAGTACACACGGTAAATAAAAGTATCTCTCCCTTTGCTGGACATCGTACTATATATCTGTTTGTCGGCCTAAAGCACAAGAGAAACATTATAAATAAATAAATAAATAAATAAATAAGCTGGAAATTATAACAAGACTCTACCTTTACTTAACACTTTCACTTAGCGTCACTCAGAAGTATACTGTAAGTTTGAGGAAAAAAAATCAATATCGTAATTAAATTTTATGCAGTGAAGTGAAATTATGTTACGGTGGTGTATAAATTTTCAAGCATTCTTACACCTTCATTTACGAGGAACAACGAACGTAAGAACCTTTGTGAACCAGAGTCGTGGGTAACTTGTCGAGGTTCCATGTGTTCAAATACAGACAGGATCCAAGTGGGTTTTTTTTTAAGTCAACTCTGAAAACAGGTGTTGGGACACTTCAGTAAGCTGGACCTCACCAAGCCGTTAAGAGGGACCATTATGCTATCTGGTCTCATAACTAAACACAAAAGGAAATCCTCACTATTACTAAAGATACGATATTCTATGTAAATAATATTTGCTAATACTACCAAGGTTCAGAAGTAAGAATTTAGAAGGAATCATACGTACAGTCTAATGTAAATCAATGAAATGTGTTGATTAATGTAAGTCCTGTAATAAATTCACCCAAGGCAAAACAACACAGCCAGAGTGAGAGCCAATGGTGCTAGTCTTGTTTAAATTTTCCTGTTACGGAACTACACACAAAAACTTACCCAACTGTAACAACAACTAGGGTGGTGATATCGCCTGGCTTCTCAAGATCAATGTTTATTACAACCTCATACGTAAAGTTATTCTACTGGCCAATATAAATGAGTATCGTAATATTAAAGAATTATATAGACCGCGGGGAAAACCTTCGTCAGCCAGGGTCGCGCTCTCTAGGTGGCGCGTCCAACAAACTCTCACCAGGCTCTTAAGTTTTTCTACATTTCTCTACTAAGTAATATTCGTAAATTATGTTACGCTCTTGAATCATGTACGTTATATCTGCTGTATTTCTTGAGGCCTCCTAATCTTTAAGGGCGAGAGTTAAAGCGATCACTCCTTACGGGCGAGAGTTAAAGCTATAATCCTCAAGGGGTTTAAACCATCTTCCAGACAGGACTAAGTTTCCCCTTTCCATCTGCACCATCACCAAAGGCCCTCTCTGTCACCTGTGTTAAGTGCCTAATATTGGACCATACGGTACGGTCATTCCTGTGCATTATTCTCTCCGTCCTTACATGCAATGGCTTTTGCAGGAACCACTTTTTATAACAGGCAAATCGAGTCATCAAGGAGAGGAGGGTGATTCACACACACAGGCTAATGAAACACCTGCCTAAAATACAATTAAACGAACACACCCACTCCTTCAGCACGAAGCCTAACCCTGCCACCGTCCACCGCACTTGCCATGACTAAACACAAAGCCACCCACATCCCGGTCCTTGCTGGTAATATAAACACCTCTTTTATAAAACTTAATGGTTCTATTTTGACTCAACAGATAAGATATTATATATTTCACAATGAGGTTTGTATAATTTGGCCAAGGACGTCGCTGGCAAAGATAAGGTGAAAAATTTAGGAAGTCGACGGTATGCGTGAGAGAAAATTTGAACTAGCAACCTATACAAGAATGAAAAAGATGTTACGTCACTTTTATCTCTTACATAAATATCTACAAGTGAAAAGAATCAGACGAACGTAACCTAATAATCTGACAATACAGTATTTTAAAGCGAGATATAGTTTCGTTTTGTCGTTAATAATGATGAGGCGAGAGGCATACAAAATCCTTGCCATTGTACGATCTGCAAGTCATCCTCATCTTCTTATACATTTCCTCTACAATTTACGACGTGAAATTTCCACTTTTTTTTCACCAGTGTAATCTTACTAAGTGTACGTTCCCACCAAATTTTGACATTATACACCATTTTTTTTCACTCTCATCACCTCTCACGATCGTTATAATATTGCCTCTTATCTTCAAGGCTGGAAACTCCTTCTCTCGTTGCCAATTATAATCTTATAAACGTTATCTATTCAAGAAACTAAAATCCTCTACAATTTATCAGTATTGTCATCTTTCCACACGTGTCCTCGAAACTTTACGATACAACTCATGACAAGATTTTAAGACCAAGACAATTGAAAACATAACCAGTCCATAAAACCACAAACAGAACTACACGTTATTTCACGGTGAATATCCATGTTGACGATTAAACCACGAATCAAAATAATCCAAACTAAACCCCTTAAAAAACGTAAAACTTAAACTCTAAAAATCTTACTTAACCCCCACAACTTATCTCAAGTAACTTAACCTGACCCAGAGTAAATAAAAGTTAACCTGATCCATAATAGCGAGATCCTACAATTGTACCGTATCCCCTATGCCCCTGTTATACACCATTCAAAAAACCGATAGAAGACAAGTCACTGTTACCTCCACATTGGCGCTCAGGAGGCGGACACAGTCGTTCTCCGCCAAACTATACGACATGTTCACCCCAGTTCACGAAGTTAGGTTACTCCCTCACTCTACCTAACCCCTGAATACTGAGGTCCCTTTAATGTTTATTTCTCGTTACTATTTCTTTGGGGGGAGGGGGGGAACTTCACTGATATATTTATTTTAATGCAGCTAATAAATGTTTGAGGAGACAATGGAAATCACATATGAAGCAGATCATAAGAACATCCTAACTTAACCCCCCTAAAAGTACTCCGATTAAGTTAGGTTGGTTCTTGTGGGTCAACTATAGAAGCGCTTTTCAAACTGTACATCAAAGTAAATGGAAATTGCAAGATCACGTTGAAACAACCGTAAATAAGACCGCGCTGATAAACCATGTCTTTTACCCTCTCTTACATGACTGCATTCCTCAACTAAACCTTTCACCACTTGACAGAATTCATTAACCCTTTCAAGTAGCTCTTTATACTGTTACTGGACGATTGAAGTTTGAACACACTACACAACCCGTCCTGTGTAACGAGAAACTGGTTATTTATTCCACATTCATTTTTTTCTCGCTATTTATGCATCGTAGAAAAAAAACAGGTGAGTTTGATCTGTAGAGCGAGTCACAGGAATAAGTTAACTTCACAAGGGTAACAACAGCGCGGATCTCCTCAGCTGATGCCTGGAGTTGAGTTCTTGTCTAGTTCACTCGTTTATATTATCACTTTCCATTTATATGACAACTTATACTGTATATGACTAATAAATAAATTCATATTACGTTAAGAATTTTTCTTACATTTCAGTTGGGTACAAAATTTATAATGGTAGCAATAAATTCACACCACGATTTAAATACCTGTTATCACTTACGTTACAATGCCCACCCATACTTGGAGTGCAAAGGCTGTAACACTGGAGTACATGTTAAAAAAATGAAAAGGGTACTTAATACATGCGACGACTGCTTCATGCTAAAAAAAATACTGGCTAATTAATAACGGTTTTATTTATTTCACCAAAACCAAATGAATTCGAATTTTATTCACCAGTGAGGTATTCTTTATGCTATCTTAGCTGCATCAAGCTAACGTCGCTGTAACAAATACTGAAACTTGTGTTTGCAGCTAACCTGAGCGTCATGAGGTTCTGGACCATCTCCTTGCCCAGGTAGTGGTCAATGCGGTAGATCTCCTCCTCCTTAAACAACCCCGCCAGGTGATTGGACAGTTTGGCAGAAGAATCCGAGTCCTTACCGAAGGGCTTCTCGATGATGACGCGGGTCCAGCCCTGAGTAGCCATACAACAACCCTTCAGGTTGGTTGTAACAATGTCGAACACTGACGGAGGAAGAGCCAAGTAGAAGATCCTGTTGGCCCTGGGCGTGGCTACCTTGTTCATCTCCTGATCCAGCAGCTCAAAGTCTCTGCGGGTGTCATACGACCCCTTCACGTAGCTATTCACTTTCCAGAACTGTTCATATCGCTCCTGCTCCGACTCCCCCACCTTCATGAAGGGTTTACACTTCTCCTTCACCTGCGCCACCGTCAGGGCGGACCGAGCATACCCGACAAAGAAGGTATTTTCTGGCAATAAACGATCACGGTAGAGCCACCACAGCGTCGGGTAGATCTTCTTCTTGGCCAGGTCACCGGAGGCTCCCATCACCACGAAGATGTGTGGGGTGGAAGCTTCGAAGTTGGTTTCTCCTGGTGTCTTGCATGACTTCAAACTCTGACGCAGGAGTGACAACATCTCCTCTGCGCCTGCCGACTCGCTCTTGACAAGAGCCGCTGATCTGGACATGGTGCCACTGTTGCTCCGAGTGCCAACACTGATAAGGCTTCCTTGATCACCTGACACGACCCCACACACAATACACGTGTTACCCAGCTTGTCGGGAGAACTCACAATGAGATGTGACCACAGAAACACTACGTAAAGTCTGGGAAACATTCCAGTTTGTTGTAGTAGCACACGGGGCGCTATCAGCTGATGTCGGTTGATTGCCAACTGCAAATTTTCTTTTTTTAAGCTTCTGTTTAGATATAACTATAATAAATATACCAAACCTATTCTAAAGTTATTTTATGATATGGCTGGTATATTTTTTAAAACTGAATCGTTGCCTGTGCTGCTTATTTGAAAGAGATCTTTAACATGATAGAAAGTATTGGCAATAATATCCAGATTCGCTCTACACTAAATCTCACGACTTCAACACATCCACTAATACTACCAATCCTCGAATTTTGTTATTGATGTTTCTTTTACATTAAAAACATTTGAGCTGCGTGACCTTGAAAGTTTCAATTTCCTGGTTATCTGGTGACTTTGAGATAAGTTATCAATCAATATTATCTTAAGCATATTTCTGGCAGCTGTCAGCAATTCCTCTCATCTCATTGTTGAAGTATAACCTGAAATTAATTCTTGACATCATTACAATACGTCATGTAGAAGAGAAAATTCACCAGTAACTTTATGTATGTTTAGTGTAATAATCCTAAGTCAAACAATTGCACGTCACTTTTTTTCACCTACCATGCGAAAGTATTGAAATTACATCTTGTTAAGAAATTAAAAATAAATTAAAGAAGGTGGGCGATATTACTTTTTATCTATTTTAATTAAACGAATTATACACCCATAAATAATATAAAAAAAACTGCTTCATTCTATGTTATGTATTTATTAGAAAAAAGAGATTAATTTAATTAGGCTTTTTGGAGAGACTAAGTAGATAGATATTCCGTTAAACAGTCATATAAGTTTGTATTGATTCTGTATGTATCTAAACAATGCAGGTAGGAAGTGTATGCATAGACTTGTAGTGTTGCTTCAGGCTCTTTTAGTTATGAATACCTTGATGCTAATTATGATATTGTGTTTTGTTAGGACTATAGATTTATGGTGAGATAATGCACAATGGTCACCATAACAGGTACAAGTCCATCCTAGTTTGGTGATCACCTGAAAATAATACACCCCAGATTATATCACGTGAAGATTAGACACCCCAGCTTATTTAACTTGCCGACGTCTGACAGCAAGATAAATGGACTTAGCCTTTCCCAGGAACTTGTACATCATCAGTGCACTGGAATTTTGGTGCAATTTGTCAATGTTGATAATAATTGATGGTGTGGTGAAGCGACAATGGACGTGGCGCTGCTCACATCTATCCGTCTCCACACCGCGAGATAATTTTGCCCTTTAACCTGGTGCTTAATGAACCTATTTAGTTACGAGCCTCAATTTAATTTTAATGGTATTTGATGTAATAAACCTTTGTTGTAGTGTTTCTCGTCATACCTATAATTTTATAATACACTGGTACTTTGTTTTACTACTAACAGAATATATTGGAAACGATAATCACCTATCCAATCCTAATATTTACTTTGACCTTTTCCAATATTTACTGTAAATAGAATAAGGTATGTAACACTGTACGTATAACAAGGAACTATATTATTTATTATTGTAGGTGCACATAAACTTTTCGATCACCTTTGTACAATAACGTGAGGATAAACCAAACTATATTTATAAGCAAAAACTGTATCCTCAAGCCACAAGGTAAAGAAATTTTATTGTGGCGAACAAAATATATAAAGAATCGTCGATCTGGTTGAGTCATGCGCAGTTAGAGCTATTAATTAGAACCGCGGTGCGCAGATCCTGTTTACAAGGTGCCAGGCGCACCGTCAGGAGGCCGTCACCTGAAGGATCGCCTGCAGATTATTCTCCCCTAGTTTATTTCACTTGAAGATTAACCACCCTAATATTACCTGGAGGCGGGGAGGTTCGGATATGTTAGGTTAAGAAGTTGATTTAGTTTAGGTTAAGGTAGATTAGGTTAAGTTGGGGCGGTTAATCATCAGGTGGAATAAACTGGAGGGGCTATTCTTCAGGTTATCCAATTGCCATCCCTAGAGAAAGACGCCCGTGTTATTGAATGCAAATAATAATAATAATAATAATAGTAATAATAATAATAATAATAATAATAATAATAATAATAATAATAATAATAATAATAATATCATCAACAACAGTACATCGCAAAAAAAATGGTATTAACAAAAACGAAGGACCACAGCAACTACCTTCTTCATTCCGTTTTTTAAGTATTTTTTAAGTGTGGTGGGGGAGAGGTATGACTGCCACCCCAAGGTTAACTCAAGCACGAGGCGTCGAATCCCCAGAAGTAAAAAAATATTATGTGTTCTTGGAAGAAAAACAAAATTTTCGAGAAAAGTGTGATGGCTGTATATAGTTAAGTGTGATGGCTGTATATAGTTAAGTGTGGTGAATGAATATGAATAAACTAAGGCAAGTGTATATATTTAAGTGTGGTAATGTATAAAGTATAGTTAAGTGTGGTAGATGTATATAACTTTCGCGCCTCGCTACACACCTACAAGGGAGGTCTCGACATTTGGGAGTGAAAGACCTCCACAAACAGTAACAATTACTTTATTTTTCTTTACTTTACTTTATCCTCTTCTCCCCTGATCAGCCTGTTAGCTGTCGTTCACGTCTCTGTTGGCAAGTACTGGCCATGTAGCCTATACTGTAAGTTAACGAGCTTACACTTGGTGCCGTCACAGCATTCTCTGACTGGTCATTACAACAGTTCACAACTCTCACTCCAAAAAAGTTTACCCAGACAATTTTCTGAACTTGTGGCTTCTTCAACCTTAAGCTATGACCTAACCTAACCACTAGTTCCAGGTATGAATAATCAACTAAGTAATGTCCTCTGAAGTACTTAAAGATTAACCACATAATCTGCCTCACTCTAGATAAGGTCTACCACGTCACAGGGGTCGTCAGTACGTCTTAACGAACACCAAACCCTTTCAGAAATAAATCACAAATACTTCACAAGATATTTATAAAGTATTTCATTACTTGAATCCCTCACCTTCACAAGCCGGATTCTTTTACGTGGAAAAGACCCTAATATTCCATCTGTCTCCAGGGACACCACACCTGCCCCTGCCCTGTACACGGATGTTAATGGTGGGTTCATATTTACATGTTATTGATAGGCTGGCTGTATAAAATTTTGCTTTGTTGGAAGACTTAATTGAACATCTCTTAAGACCCTAGAGGAGCGTGTGCCGTTACGGTGAACCTGTCGGATGGATTAGAATAATTACCTGAGCGTCATGAGGTTCTGGACCATCTCCTTGCCCAGGTAGTGGTCAATGCGGTAGATCTCCTCCTCCTTAAACAACCCCGCCAGGTGATTGGACAGTTTGGCAGAAGAATCCGAGTCCTTACCGAAGGGCTTCTCGATGATGACGCGGGTCCAGCCCTGAGTAGCCATACAACAAGCCTTCAGGTTGGTTGTAACAATGTCGAACACTGACGGAGGAAGAGCCAAGTAGAAGATCCTGTTGGCCCTGGGTGTGGCTACCTTGTTCATCTCCTGATCCAGCAGCTCAAAGTCTCTGCGGGTGTCATACGACCCCTTCACGTAGCTATTCACTTTCCAGAACTGTTCATATCGCTCCTGCTCCGACTCCCCCACCTTCATGAAGGGTTTACACTTCTCCTTCACCTGCGCCACCGTCAGGGCGGACCGAGCATACCCGACAAAGAAGGTATTTTCTGGCAATAAACGATCACGGTAGAGCCACCACAGCGTCGGGTAGATCTTCTTCTTGGCCAGGTCACCGGAGGCTCCCATCACCACGAAGATGTGTGGGGTGGAAGCTTTATGCCTCATCTTGCTAGGCTACACAGAACAGGCAGACTGATGATGTTTTCACAACACAATAATTTATCACTAATTCACAAGCAAGTCATGTTGATAATCCTCCCACCTGCGTCATGGTAATGTAAAGAGATATCACTTGAAACGCTATTGATGCGATGATAAATACTGTCCCGTTGTTGTCGTCCGTCTGTAGTTAGATAAGCTGTCTGTATTTTGGTATAGAGCAATAGACCTATGTTGTCTGTCACTGAAGAACTCCCGGTAGCTTACCTGTCTAGTGATATTTGACGAGAATTTACCCCCCAAAATTGATAAGGCTCTCGGTTGTCCTACACGTGGTTCTCAACTGGCTCAGCCATGTTAATATTGTTATTATTATCCACTCTGCATGTTTTTTTTTTGATAAATAAACTGTTTCAATTCAATTCAAGACCTGTGTTTTCCGTTTAACGAAGTCTGGCTGAAACGTCTGTCAGGCGGTATAGTCACTGAGTACTTAGGGTGAGTGCTGTCCGTCCGTCTGTGGAGAATTAGGGCGTCAGTGTATGGGTGAAGACAGCGTATGTGTGCGTGTGGAGTGACGGAGAAGGCAGGACTGTGTTGGATGTTGGTGGTGCGGGTGTGTGACCTTCTTGGGTTCTTACGCTATGCTAGTGTGCACTGCGTTGAACGCTTTGCATGCAACAACGCGCCCGAGGATTTATTTATTCTGAGGGGAATCTGTAGGCTGTTCTTAGACGTATATTCTTAACTTATTTATCTATCTTTATGGACAGAACATTGTCATTGAAGGACACCGATATGTTCTACCCAAAAATAAACAAAAAGATTATAATGCAACACAGCTCAAGGAATATTATAATTTTGCACACACCACCACAACGGAAATGGTCATATCCTGTCACCACTACCACCACCAACGTAACACTTAAAACACTCACCCTATAAACCATTGTTGCTGATATAGAAACCAACCTGTAGCGAGATAATGAAAACACAGTTCCTCTCTGTTCTATATTTATCTATTTATCTTGAACGCTATGATGCAACTGCTGTCAAGGTCACACAGTACAGCTTTTAACTCAAAACTATTACCCATTTTCATGTTTTCTATTACATGAACGTCATTAACAATCTTTATTTATTCAGTATTTATCTAGCATGTGGGGAAAGACGTTCAACTAATTAGGTAAAATTATTAAAGCAAATAGGTTTACACAGCAGAACCTGTACATAATTATTAATTCGAAACAAGTTATCATCCTGTACCTACCACAATTCACATATTCATTTATAAAAATAATCACACCAGGCACAGATAAATACTACACTGTGGCACGTTAAGTCCGATAAGAACGTAATAGGTTTGTTGAGTAAGGGGTTTAGGGTTGTGTTATTGGGTTCACAGTTTCTAATACAGTTTATCCACCGAAAAAAAAATGCATAGACCAGGAACACACACACAACGTCCACCCGAGTGATGTAACACCCTAACGTTGCCTGGAGGGGGGTTAGGTCAGGTCAGGTCAGGTTAGGTTAGCATATTTTCTTTATACACTAATATTGTATATCTTAACAATCAGTTATTGTTGATATACTGTACTGTACATGCTGAATCACTGTAAACTTGTATAACGATTTTACTTAATATATTTTTAGGTGTTACTATAATATGTGATCTGCCGAGCTGGAGTTGGTCTACCAGGATATTTACACTGTAGCGTCTAAACCCAACCTAACCTAACTTAATCTATTTTAACCTAACATAACCTATTTTAACCTAACCTAACTTAAATTAGGTTAGGTTAGGTTAATGAATACTATAGTGTAAATATCCTGGTAGACACAACTCCAGTTTGGTAGACTGCATACTATAGTAGCACCTGCATGGTAGACCGCATTCATGGCGGGTCGAGTGCACCGCATTGTCGTGTTGAGGGATATAAGCAAGGCCTTTAGCAAGGTCTGTTAGGATGGCATGAAGCAAAAAATCATCAACCTGGGTCTCCCTGAGAACCTGGCCTCTGTAACTTCCTTACCGATCGAAGATACAAAATCAAGTTGCAACAACGCTGTAGGTTCAACCTCTCAAGCACTAACTCCTCCTCGAGCACTAACCTACACTCATGTGCTAACTCCTGTTCAAGCGCTAACTCCTGTTCAAGCACTATCTCCCGTGCAAGAGTTAACTCCCACACAAGTGTTAACTCACACTGAAGTGCTATCTCCAACTCAAGTGCTAACTCATACTCAAGAATTAACTCATACTCAAGCACTAACTCATGTTATTTACCAAATATGACATTTGTAACAAAGAAAATTGTATGTTATGCTGCTTAACCACGTAATTACAACCCCAGGTATAGAACATCAAAAGACTTTCTACACATGTCAAATATGAAAGAGTTGTAATCTATTTCTGCCAGTGTTTACTTTAAGACTCCTTAATTATGTAATACATTTTCGTTATCCGGCATCTACGGGGATTGTGAAGTGCCGGATTCTTTTTCCAGTTGGTTGAAATTCACTCTCAGGATCCCCCAATAAATCCTACAGTGTACAGTGCTACAGGTTGACCTCACAAATTCCTGCCTCAAAAAATTTATTTCTTTAATACTGTACTTATTTTGCTCTATATAAATGTGGCTTAGAAATAAAGAAAATATAATATAGAACAGTAAAATAAGAAAAATGAAGGCATGGTTGTGTAAGTGTGGGAAGTGAATGTGTGTGTGTGGAGGCAGTGGGTTACTGGGCTAAAACTGTGTGGCTGTGCTCCCTCCTGGTGTGACATCACGGCATACACAGATTGCGTGACAGCCACATGTCTGCGAGTCAGCTGGTCGACTGCCTGGATTATGTCACGTCGCCCAGAGTATGTTTTGAGTGTGGAAGGAGCTAATTTTTATACATGTAATATGTACTTTTGTATTTTATGATAGAGCTATGTATCGATTTTATTGTTTATCATAGCAATAATTTGGCTGCTCATCCCTGTTGTGCACGTTATTTAAACTTAAGATTTTAGCTGATTTTGGAGGAACTTTTATTTCTATTATTATTATTTCATTTTGGTGCCAGTTAGTTGAATTTACCGGTTGCTCAGATAACTGGGATTGTACTGTATTTATATTATGTAATGCCTTGGGGTTGCACTGGATAGACGACAGCAATAAATGGAGTCGCACTGGAAAATGCTTGGGAACCCGTTATAAACCATCAACACCAAGTTGTTCTCTGAATATGTATGCACATTGATGTTTCCTAAATTGTCAAGTTTAAACATAATCATGCAAGATTAGTCAATACTTACTGTAATATTAAGATGATATACAAAAGAACCAGGTAAAATAAATTTATATTTATTCACAACTGTACAATCCATTTACACAACTATGAAATGAGCATGTAATAAGTGAATTGTATAAGAAAATATCTCTTAATTCAGGGTTAACCGAATCATACCAAATAATTTATAAATGGATAAAAATATGATAATGACAGATTGGTTCAATTAAGACACAACCTATCATTATTAGTGCTAAGGCCCAGTACTAATGAGTTAGTATTGGCTCCCATTATGACTGAGTCTTAGTTCTCATGGTTAAGTTAGGTTATTGGATTGTCAGGACTAGGGTCTTTGACCACTCACATAAATGAATATAGGAAGAGGCATAAATTTTCATCTCAGTTTTTTTATCATTAAAATTCCAATGTGAATTTTACACAAGTACAGTACATACTTATATTTGTGCAAATGACATGATGAAACAGATGTACAGTACAAAAATATTTACAAAACATTTTAAAAGCAAACAGACAAAAAGCTTTCCCCAACAACATGACTTATTAGCCAGATAACAAGATGCAACATCAGTAAAAAAAGCTGCATATTCCACAATCACATTCAAGACTTCTATCTATCACCTTGACTCTTCTCTCACTGCTGTGTGGGGTTGATCAAGGGGATTTAAAACCTCAAAGAAAGAAGGAAAATAGTCGGTAAGAGTACAATAGTGTAAGACAACGGTAGGAGCAGTACAGAAGGACTAGACAAAAAGAACTGTTCAAGTCTTAGTTAACAAACAATCTTTGTTGCTTCATGATATCTATAAATTGCTAAGAATTTTTTTTAATTGCAAACATTACTACAAACAGACTTTCCAAACTATGAAAAATTTAAAACACTTTGTTATTGACCCTAATCAAAGAAGTGCCTATAACTTCCCTGATATATTCCTAAATATTCTAAATAGCCTTTGAGGTGTTAATACACTGGTCTGTGGTACTTTTAAGGCACTAATATAAAAGTAGGTACTCCAGAAGTGTTGTTCGTGTTTTGATCACTTGACATTTTTCCTGGAATTTGGGGCATTAGTTAAGAGACTGCACAACCACTATTAGTACAATACCTCCATTTCTGAGTGACCCTGAGTTAGAAAAATTAATGTTTTATTAACAATTAATTAATATGAAAAGAGAGAACAAGAACAGCACTCATTATTATACAGTACTTGTAATACTGCTCGTGAACAACATTACTGTAATTAAATACTGTAATGAGAGAGGAAATAACAAAGACATTACAATATGACACAATTTGCATCTGATGTTCAGTTAATATTCAGAATGAAGGTAGTGAATCATGGTTGTGGTTTGTCAGTTTCTGTACTCTTCAGGATGTATTGTACTAGTTGATAGCAGATACTGCCTTCCTGGCTGCTTCATCCAAGTTATTAGCAGATTGAATATCACAACCAGATTCTGCTAAAATACGCTTAGCTTCATCGACGTTTGTTCCTGAAAAGATAAATATGACTATGTGAGTCGTCATTTATATTCAAAAGTTCTGAAGGTGAAATAAGCTGGAGGCTATTATTCAAGTGTTCCAAAATCAATTCTAATTACAATCTCTCCCACCATCTGCCTTTATTAATTCTCTTTACCAGCAATTATCTTACCCATATAATGTATATTAAAATGTAGGTATTTATTAAGTGTATGTTTGTATGTCTTGAGTTTTTGTCAGGGTGAATGAGTGTCTTTGTTGTTGACCATCAACAACAATGCTAGAAACATCCACATGGCAGAAAATCCTTGTAAGTTAGTCTCAGTTCTCAAGAGAATCAAGGTCTTGTATAGGACTTGAAAATATCCAGTACAATATCAAGGAAGGTGATCAAATTTAGATACAGTACAAGAACAGGAAGGTAAGGTTTGAGGAGAAATAACATAGAACACTAGAAAGAGAAGAGAGTAAAATAATGAGAGCCTTCAAATATAAATTTGGACCTGTGCTTAAATATCTAAAACAAATTTAAGTACATAATGATTCATTTGTACCTTCTAGTCTAACCACCAGTGGAATCTTGATGTCTCTGTCCCGCAGAACTTTGACGAGGCCGCTTGCAATGGTTGCCGTGTTTACAATGCCTCCAAATATATTCACAAAAAGTGCTTTTACAGATTCATCTGAAAATACATAAAATTAGTACCATATTTTAATATTCTCCTTTCACCTTAGATATTAAAAATCTCATTTAATGGTTACAAACTACTAGTACAGTACTGTCAATAGTTTTCTTGCATACAGATCACATTTCAATCCAATCAGTAACATTTGTCAATAGGTAAACATCTCATCCATTTTCTATGCTGCAAGTATTACCAGACAAAACAAACAACCAATACTAAGACTTCCAAGCAACAAAAATACTAAATAAGAACTTGAACCTCAGTCTTTTTTATATTCCACTGTTAAGTAATCTTCCCTGCTGACCAAGTACTTGACGTAAGATTTAAAACTACAAAACAAGTCTAGATATTTAAAGCAGATAAGAAAAATCTGTAAACAAACTCAATGAACACACACTGCATACAGTATTACCAAAAGTCCAGCTGTGATATTTATTTTAACTGTCTAGTCCTCTCCCAAGACATAATAGAGGAGATGACTAGATTCAGGAATTAACTAATGTAGCAGATGTTTTTTTTTCTCTATAGTTTCCTCTTCCAAAACACAGCCTCAAAATTAGTAGTTTATCCCAGTGACTTCATACCGAAGCCATCATCAGTGTGTTCATCCCCCATCAAGTACTGTATAGTGTTAATCATAAGGTGAAATAAGCTGAAGGTTAATTTTCAGGTGATTCATTGTTCCCTCCTACAAAAAAATACCCCAAGATGTCCTTCTACTTTATTTTACACATCACTTCAGCAATATGTCCCATCATAAAAACCACCCATCAACATCTTCTGTAATCATTACCTGAAGTGAGAATCCTAACAGCCTGTTCCACCTGATGCTCCTGGACACCTCCACCCAAGTCCAGGAAGTTGGCTGGTGAGCCTCCATGTAACTTGATGATGTCCATTGTTGCCATGGCCAGGCCAGCTCCATTAACTGTTAAAATAGATAGAGATACTTGTAAGATTTTCATGTATTTCCTCACAATAAAAGTTGATGAAAACAAGTGTTTATCCTAACATGGTAGTTTATCAGAACAATGGTGATTATTCATCCATCATTAATGGTTAGGAATGTTATTCTCAGAAACATTTATCCACCAGTTTAGGAATACTGTTCTTTTGTTTATGATCCCAAAAAGGCTCACATTCCTCCTTCATGCAACAACAACAACAACGTCCATCCCTTAGTATAATTCTTTGATTAGCTAGACAGATTCCTATATTTCTACATGGAACTAATAAATAGATAAGTACAGTATTCTAATAAATCACTAAAACTCAGACTGATTACTTGATGAGGATAAATATGCATATCTGCAGGGCCTTATGTATGTGATGTGTCGTATGTAGACGTATATAAAGATCTATCTGCCTTAGGTCATTTTAAATGTTCAACTTTAATGTCTTGAAGTTTTCAGTTCTTGAACATTTGGATTAGTTTCACTTTTTAACAGAAAATAGTTTAGGGTCAGCGAGGACAAATAGGACTGGTTGGGTATCTGCCAATGAATGAGTTATGCTACTTGGTCTCATAACTTTTCTTAGGGGAGGAAAATAGTGGAGTCTTATACAGACCTAAACAGCCAATATTTCCGTCCATGCCAATGTAAGTGAGATTATAGCGGGCAGCTTCCACCTCTCTGGGATCACTCTCACTGTAGTCCTCCATAGCAAACACATCCTTCTGTCTGCAATACAAAATTTCTAATACAATCTCAGTCTGGCACACAATAAATAATGTACTAACTTAAGAGGACCAGCTATAAATACCTAGAACCATCAAATTAATATCATAATGAACATAACTGGTCCAATGATACATGAATGATTCCCAGCATCCAAACTATAGTGATAAAAAAAGAAAAGAAAAATGACCCCACAGTAAGTTATCATCACATTAGTAGTACAATAATGGATACATGAGGCAACACAGAATAAGGTGTTACATAGCATTAATGGTTCGTTGACTGACCTGAATTCAGCATTATCATCAAACTGGATCTTGGCATCGACGGCCACAACCTGGCCTTGTGGGGTCTCAATCAGAGGATTAATTTCAATCTGGGTTGCATCCACACCGAGGAACATGCTCCAAATGCCCTTCACCTCCTTGGCACACTACAAAAAAAAATTAAATAAACCCATATTAATTAAACATTCTATCCTTAATCATAAACATTGAATTTTCTTTTCTTTTTTCCAAGTTGTAAAAACATCACCAACACGTCCCTAAGTATTACACATCTCTTTAAGAAACTCACTTTTTCTCTCAATGGCCCATTAAATTTAAGGAAATCTGCAACCTTGAGTGCCATTTCATCTGTAATCCCTTCGTGTATATCGATGGGTTGCGTCATCAAGCGCTCGGGGGTCTTCTCGGCCACTTCCTCTATATCCATACCACCATCAGGGCTTGCTATTAGTACGGGTCCATTATGTTCTCTGGATTGGAAGAAAAATACAAATGAAAATAATACCCCAAACACAATTTATACTTTATCATCTGTAAAATCAAAACATACCCTAATTTCTTTTCATAAACCTTCATCTTTAAAGTTCTACATTTCCATAATCTTGACATTATCTATATATCTTTGCCACCTAATGATATTGTCTTTATATATTTGTTACTGTAAAGGCACTCCGGCTTACTCCTCCCTCCTACTTAAATTTTCAGTGCCTATTACCACCTGGCCCTCCCTCCATCCACCACCTGGCCCTCCCCTCCATCCACCACCTGGCTCCATCCACCACCCCTCTCCTCCATCCACCACCTGGCCCTCCCTCCATCCACCACCTGGCCCTCCCCTCCATCCACCACCTGGCCCTCTCCTCCATACACCACCTGGCCCTCTTTCCACTATCTGCCATCTTTTAGTTTACTCAAATGTAATACATACACCTGACAAGTTACCGATAATGACTCACCTGTCCATGAGAATACAAAAATAAGTTTCACGGAGAATATCAACAGACTCGGCGACCATGACCTTGTTGACAACGATACCGTCCTTCGGGGTCTGTTTTGTGACCAGCTTGTGGCCCACCATCTTCTCCACCAAGCTTGCCACTTCATTACAGCTGAAAAATAGACAAGAGAGATATATACAGGGTTTCCAAGTTAAGGACACTATCTCACACACACTTTACAATTTACAGGGAATAGCTACCACAGAAAGAAACTTAAAGGTGAGAGCATCTAGCGGTATATTGTCTTAGAATTGAAGTACGACAAAGAACCATTATCAGCAAATAAATCTGCAATAAACACCAGATTTTATGAATTTTCTCATGAGCTAAAAATTCAATAATGGCAAGCCTGTGCATTAGTGCCTTACTGTACCCCAGAGGTGACCCCTTCATATACATCACACAGTCTTCAAGCTACAAGCTGTAAGAACACCATAATAATATCTATATAGCTCCTGAGAGAGTATCAATTGACTCCATTTCATATTTTCATAGAATACTCATTATAATTCCTAAATGTATTAAAGGCCACTTTTATTGTCCATTTTTAATCAGCAAAATCCAGTCAAATCCAGGATAAGGGAAGCTACTCACTCCTTGGTAAGATGAACGCCTCCCTTAAAGCCATTGTCAAAATGTCCTTTCCCACGCCCACCAGCCAAGATCTGAGCTTTCACCACAAATTCGGCAGCATCTGTAATCATTCATAAATGTAATTTCAGTTAACTGATGATAAAGTGAGAAAAAAACCCTACTATGATGCAGGGTGGGAGGTCAGGTGCAGGTCCTCTGATTCTTATTATTCACAGTGGACTACTATGTTCCCCTTCCTGGCACGATGCTAGTCCATTGAAGGGTTGTTCCATCATCAGTAAGCAAACCTGGTAGTTGATGGTTAACTTATTTTACTACCAAATATCTAAGGGCTAGTGGGATCACATGAATATTAGCATCCCAGCTTATTTCACCTTATTTCAGACCTAACCTAACCCCCTGAAATAGCATTAGGGTGGTTAATCAACAGGTGAAATTAGCTAAGGGGATTACCTTGTGATCCAGTAGGCACACAAGGTGGTAACCCAATTCTCCACTCCAGCAGGGAAAAGAATCTGATACTGGTGCCCTTCATTCACAACAAGAATGCTATACCAGCGAGATATTTTCTCCATTATCTTTACTCCTCTCCCACTTTTGTGTGGGGCCGGTCAAGAGGTACAGAAACATCAAAGAAAGAAGAAATACACTGGGGCAGAAACAATGCAAGACATCTGTAGAAAAAGACAGGAAAGAGCTACAAAAACAAGTAGAAGTACTGTACTCTGCACACACTTGCTCAATGCTTTCTGGCATTATTTTAGTGTCATATTAATAAAAGTTACTTAACTGCTTGTTTTAATATGCTCTCTGCTGATCTACTGTAGTTAATAACCATTTTCTGTTCCCTAGTAGTCTTCATTTTCTATAACAGTAGAATGCCACTGCTGAAATAAATCAGCATTTTTTAAGCCAGAAGCCAACTGTAATCATCATATGCTGTGTTCCTTGTCTTGGAAATTACTTTACATACAGGACATATAATGAAAAGACCATATAAAGCAAAAAAAATGAATTGCAAGGCTAAATTACAACATAAGTTAATGATTTACAGTAGATCTTGATTAATAAACACATACAATAGATTAAAGGAGTCTAAATTTAGCTTGACATGGGACTCAGGGTTAAACAGATTCTACAATATGAAAATTTAACATTAAGAAGTAATTTTGCTGCATTAACTCTCATTATGTCCAATAAACTTAATATTATCAACAATATGATCAAGTAATATGGTTAACAGGACAATTTCTGCATCATCCTGAGTTAACATAAAAGATTAGGTACCCCAGCTTACTTCACCTGATGATTTAAACACCTGAAAGCTGATTGGGAAGATTAAGCTGTTTAATCTTAAAGCGAAACAAGCTTGGGTGACTAATCTTCACATGATCTTTCAGAGATAACAATAAAATTTTAACATAAGGTGGTAACAAAGATAATTTTAGCATTACTTACTGAGGGACTTTGAGGCCTCCACAGCCTCTTTGTGGGAGTCAAGAATGCGAAATCTCTGTACAGTTACTCCATGATTCTCTAGTAAAACTTTGCTCTGGTACTCTAGCAGGTTGAGGCATCGTACTGGCACCTGCACGTATACACTAAAATTTAGGTACAGTATATTCCAAAATGTTATAGTTTTAAATTTGCTGATAAGTACATAATCGTGGAAGTACACTAAGCGAAACCTCCATATAGTGGATTTCTCTCTCCATATACTCTGTTAGATGGGGAGTTTCACATCTAATGGGCCCACAACATAATGGACTTTCTTCTCCAAGTAATTCATTAAATAAAAGTTTCACTATAATTAACACTTCATAGCATATAATGACACCATATTAAAGTAAGTGATTAGCTTAACGTTACCACTTTATTTTTATTTTTTTGTATTCAGGGTAATGGTGGAGAAGATGGATAGCAACAGAAGGACTTTATGGAATTAAACCAAACTTTCAGGAGATGTTTGGATGATACTAAATAAGAAAATCAAAACAACAATATACAGAACCTGACCTAACCTACCCAACCCAACCTAACCTAACCTAACCTAACCTTACTTAACCTCTCCGAACTTCCTGTTTCAATTTTCTTACTACTGTATCATCCAAACAACATCTCTAGAAAAATGAACAAATTCAATCTAATTTCATCATAATGAATACGCCCGATGAGATCGTCGTTCATTTCTTGACATGTAAACAAAGACTGTGGGCATTCCTGTACAGTACAGTATACTGTATATAGCAGATGGTGTGAACCAAAACATGGGAGATCTGACGGTGCAATAGTTATGATAAATAATTTATTACTTCATCTACAGAGCACGTAGAGATTGAAATTACTGCCATATGCCACATTTCCCTCTTCTTTCATGACCTGCCCACTAACAAATAATTTATGATCATCCAAACATCTCCAGAAAATTTGGTGCAATTTAATAAAGTCCTTCTGGTGCCAACCGTCTCCTCCACCATTACCTTTCTCAGTGTATCTTTATCACGTGTTTCTTCAAAATCCTTGCCAAGAAGGCTCGCCTGTATATTAGACAGCCACATTATTTCTAAATATGACTAAGTTCCCTAATGCTAACCTAACCCCGTAAGTTGTGTTAAGGCGTTGAATCACCATGTGAAATAAGGTGGGGTGCTTATTCTTCAGGTAATCTACCAAGGGCGTAAATAATGGGCCTACTGTCTGCCACACTAGAGAAACTGGGACTCCCTCACTGGATTATAAAATTAAACAAGATTAGAAACCAGTGGAATACTTTAAAGGGCAATGATCCCTTAATGCTGTCTCGTCCACACTGATACTCTAACAAATGAAAACAAAACACCACTGGATTATGCATGATGGTGGTCAAGAATGATTAGTGTATTATAATCGTCAAACATAAATTAAAAGAGCAATTATAGACACGCAGTGGTTCATTCCTATCAAGAGTAAACACTGTTCAGTTCTTCAGCACACTTGTCACTGTGACAGGATAACATTTGTCAGTGAAAGTTTTCAATGTCATTTTTTTCGCTAACTGGATATATTTATAAGAATTTTGATGATGGTAACAACTACCCATCTAGATGTTCAAGAGAAATTCCAAATGTTAAAAAAGTGACGCCGGTGTACTTAAATAAAACTGCCATGTTTATTATAATCAGCTGATCCAAATTCAGACATTTAATTTACAGTATATAATCTATGACTACAAGCACAAATTTTCATTGAGACTTCAAAGCACAGCATAGTAATTTCTATGAGGTGGCAAGATTATAAAATTGGTGTCTTAAAAAAATGAATGAAAGTGAAAAATAAAAATTACTCGACTGATAGGTGGCACAACCGGAGTAAAAGTCCCTCCAATAACTCATTTCATTTGCAATATCACGAAATATTTACGGTACATCAAGACACTATCACTATAGATGTTGTCACTTTACTCACTTTTGGTTTAATTAGAGTTTGTAAAGGCGTGTAAACACCTTTTGAGAGACACCTTGTAATGATCGCTGCCATCGTGGACACTTGTACTTTAATATCCAACACTGTTACCAACTTACCACACACATTGGAAATAATAAACAATAAAAGTAATACTAATAGTTAATTATCATCCCTCCAGTTAGAACTATTATATTTTGTTTAATGTTAACTCCTAATACGAGTATATGAATACAATGAAAACTAGTGACAGCTTAATGGCACAAGCATGACATTAAATATTACTAACTTCATGTTTTATTCAGGGATTTTTATATTTTTCAGTTGATTAATATGTTGATTAATTTATTCGCTAACTATGAAAGTTTTCTGTAGAATAAGATTTTAATTTGGAGTTTGCAATATATTGAATAATTATAAAAAAAAACTAATGAGCCTTCCATGTAAGTTTAAACTGTTTTTAGTCAAGATAGTTATTGTATACATACTAATAATCTGTATCAAATAATAAAGATAATATTACACACAAGAATAAATAAATACATTAAAAACAACAAGAATGATGATTTTTATTAAAAGTTACAAACAGTGGTTGATGTGTAGACTGGGACAGGTTAATGAAAGGTCTCAATAAACAGAATCACTCACTATCATTTCTTTTTATTTTATAACAGACGACCCAGACCAAATGATGGGTTCATTGGATCTTATAACCTAGAAAACTAATAATTTTCCTCGCCCAGTTCCTGTATTTTTATTAAACATTTGAAAACTTGCTTGATGCCATCTAGATGTGAACATTGACCCCACCAGCGCCAAATTCAAGAATTATCCGGGATTTTTTTTTTCTTTATTGCCGGCGATATGCTACGGGAAGTTGATTACCAGTGAGGTATCCATTCACCGGTAAGGGAGTATGATAAGTATTGTTAGAAGGAAGGAAGATTGACTAGTTTTAGCAGGCGACGGAAAATTTTTGGCAAGTTGCAATTCTACCTTCCTCAATGCTTCCTATATACTGTATATTGATGTGCATCATATCTTTACCGCCTCCCTGTGATTACCTCGGATAGTCACACTAGATCCAGATTATCCGAGTGGCTATGAATATTAAACAGTTGAAATGATCGAAACAGACAGGAATCACAGTCACCGTCTCACAATCACAGGTAGACTGAATATAATTTCGTTACCCTTCGTTAATGTGTCATCTGTATATAATATGTTCAAGCTTTGAGTCTTCGTATATATATATATATTTATAAACAGCAGTGTATAAGACTTAACACAGTGTTTCCTAAAAGAAAATTCAGATCGATACGGAACCAACCAAAATGGATGAATAATAGACTCTTAGATCTTCTAGGGAAAAAGAAAGGAGTATATAGAAAAGTTAAGAAAGGCGAAAATCACTTACTTGGTTACTATCAGAACCTAACAAGACAGGTAAAAACAGAAATTAGGAAAGCAAAGAGAAATTATGAAATCAAGGTAGCAAACGAATCGAAAAATAACCCCAAAGCTTTTTATCAACTGTATAAATCAAAGGTTAGAGATACAATAGGTCCCCTTAAAACTACGACAGGAGAAATGACTGATGATGAGTTAGAAATGTGTAGTACGTTAAATAGTCATTTTCGCTCCGTATTCACAAATGAAAACCTAGCACAGTTTCCAGAAGTTCATAAGGTATATAACGACAGTATAGAAAATATGTTGATGAATATCAATATTACTAGTAACGATGTGCTTAAAGTAATTAACAAACTGAAGCCTCATAAATCGCCTGGTCCAGACGAGGTATATGCTAGAATATTAAAAGAATGTAGAGATGAGTTGAGTAATCCATTAGCAGTTTTATTTAATAAGTCATTAGAATCGGGCCTAGTGCCAGAAGCTTGGAAACTTGCAAATGTAGTTCCGATTTTCAAAAAGGGTGATAAATCAATAGCATCAAATTACCGTCCCATTAGTCTCACGTCAATCATAGGCAAGTTGCTAGAGTCAATTATTGCTACAAAAATCAGAAGCCACCTTGAAACATTCAACTTAATTCATTCTTCTCAGCACGGGTTCACCCAGGGACGTTCTTGTCTCACAAATTTGCTTTAGCTTTTTCTCAGAAGTATATGAAGCGGTAGATAATGATAAGTCATATGATATAATTTATTTAGATTTCAGTAAAGCATTCGATAGAGTCCCTCATGAGAGATTGATAAGGAAGGTAGAAGCACATGGAATAGGTGGATCAGTATTAAAATGGATTAGGTCATGGTTAACTGGTAGGAAACAAAGAGTCAGCATAAATGGATTAAAGTCAGACTGGGGTGGTCAAAAAGGGAGTTCCCAGGATCTGTATTAGGCCCTCTGCTGTTTGTTATATTCATTAATGATCTTGATTTAGGCATAACTAGTAGGATTAGTAAATTTGCAGATGATACCAAAATGGAGAGTGATAAATTCAGACAGTGACTTTGAACACCTTCAAAGAGATCTAGATACCTTACATGAGTGGTAGTAGACTGGCAAATGAATTAATACTGATAAATGCAAGGTACTACAGATAGGGAAGACGAATACAAACGTTAATATAAACTAGGTAACACGGAAATAGAAAACTCAGTTTGTGAAAAGATCTAGGTGTATTTGTTAGCAACGACTTGGAAACCTAGAAAACAATGTATTAGCGTTCGCAACAAGGCAAACAGGATTCTTGGGTTCATATCTAGGTCTGTGAGTAACAGAACTGCTGACGTTATCTTGAAACTTTACCTAGCATTAGTGAGGCCACACATGGATTATGCGGTTCAGTTCTGGTGTCCTTATTATAGAATGGACATAGATTCTTTGGAGAGTACAAAGAAGAATGACAAAAATGATCCATAATATTAGAAACCTTCCATATGAAGAAAGACTGAAAAGCTTAGGCTTACATTCATTAGAGGCGTAGAGTTAGGGAGATATGATAGAGGTGTACAAGTGGGTAAGTGGGATTAACAAGGGTAAAATGGAAGATGTTCTGAAGCTCAGTAATAACGAAATAACTAGAACAAATGGCTTTAAATTAGATAAATTCCGATTCAGAAAGGATATAGGCAAGCACTGGTTTGGTAATAGAGTTGTGGATATGTGGAATAGGCTACCGAGTGCTATAGTAGGATCGGGGACGCTAGGGAGCTTCAAGACGAAGTTGGATAGGCACATGGAAGTGCTGGGATGGGTGTGAAAGGGATCTGCCCTGTATGGGCCAGTCGGCCTCCTGCAGTATCCCACTTTCTTATGTTCTTATGTTCTTATGTATTTAGTTGTGATAATATACGGTTTTAATTAACTACATATTGAAGAGTGCTTTATTCTAAGGTATTTTGGCAGCCTCTTGAAGAAGTGTATATAATTTATCCATTACATTAACTCGTTTTCCGTTGTTTTCTTCAATGTTATAATATATAAAGCAAATTTATTGAAACAGCTTTATCACTTTGTCTTTTTGAATTTAGTAATGTACCAGATTGTTAAAATTCATCTACAACCCTCATATATATATATATATATATATATATATATATATATATATATATATATATATATATATATATATATATATATATATATATATATATATATATATATATATATTCCACGTTTAGTATCGTAGCTATAAAAATGTTTAATGTTAACTTAGATAAATGAATCAAAGTAAAATTGTATAAATGGATGTCAGCGCTGGCAGGAATCTCAAAACTGTGTACCTCAGCGTCGCCTGGCACGATGATCACCACGACTTGGAGCCTGAGGTAGCTCTAGCGAAGTTTTGGCTACACTGTCGTACTCAAGTCGTACCCTATGACTATATTTATGGCATCTAGTATACACCATGGGGAGAATTGTCAGGAGAGAGAGCTTGAATAATTCCTGTTTATCCTAATTTAAGTATCCACAGCCTTGATGAAGAATTTAGTCCAGACAAGAATTAACTCATAATGTTCCTCAAAATACATTGAAGGTAATTAATCGTTGAAATCTATTTTATGAATTTTGTTTACTTACTTTTACTTTTATCCTCTTCGCCACTGATCGGCTCGTTAGCAACTTGGGCAGTCAGTCACGTTTCTCATAGGCAGGCACTGGGTCTTGTATATCGGAACCTGCTCGTGTTGGTCAAGTCTGGCCTTGAATGAGCTCACACTCGGTGCTTGTCACAACGTTCTCCGGCAGATTGTTCCGAAAAAAAATTGCCCTTACAGTTTTCAGGACTTGCGGCTTCAACCTTGAGCTGTGACCCTTTGTGGGGCGGACGTCCGCCAGCTCCAGGTGAATGCCATTTGCTTTTAAAGTAAAATTATAATTTATTGGGATTTGGATTTCGTCAGCTTTCTTTAACTAGTTTTGTTTCCGTAAGTTTGTAATATTTTCGTTTATAAGGCAAATCTCTTGGTTCTTAAGGATTCATATTCTCAAGAATACTTAATATATTAAAAAAAAAGTGATATTTTTTGTAAGAAATTTAATTAATTTTAGTTTTTTAAATACTTTTTGTAGTTTATTATTTAAAGTCGTTTAACTTATATTTTTTCTGAAGTTTAGTTTTTTAAGTTTGTATGATTTCGAAACAACTTTTTCTCTACAGTGAAAAAAACACAAAAACAGTTAAGACTTGAGGACTTCAACAACCAGTGACCTTGACCTCTCCAAGCAACACGAGTGATCCATAGAAGTGACCTAACCTCTCTCCATGCATCACATGGAGTGACCTACATCAGTGACCTGACCTCCCCTAGCAGCATGTGGAGTGACCCACAGCACTGACTCGACCTCTCAAAGCAACAAGTCAACATAACTATGTATGTACTCCAGCTTTCATTACTCAAGTCTCCTCTGGTAAGAAAACGGTCAGGTAACAACTTGTTTGTTTGAGCAACACAATCGACTTGTCTCCACACCAAAAGCTGCTTTGAACCAGTTTTTACTGAACACTGAAAAGCAATTTTGAAAAAAAAAGTATTTTTTCCACCTGGAAAAAAAAATTAAAAAAAGTTATATTTTTTTTTAAAGCAAAATTTTCATTTTTTTTGCTCTTCTATAGCCTACCTAGAATGCCCCAAATCTGAGTAAAACACTTCAC